CCAGCCCGCTCGCCAAATTTGACACCTTTGGACTTTTTTATGGGGCTATTTGAAGCAAAAGGTATACGAAACTGAACCTGCTTCAATATTGGATATACGGCAGAGAATAATAAATATTTGTAGAGATATTGACGTTACTGTGTTCGAAAATGTGCGGCGTGAAATATCGGATAGGCTGTTCATATGTCAAGAAGTTAAAGGCAACCATATTTCGAGCATCCTCTGAACTGACCTGAAGCTTATTATTTAGTTAAATGTCAATGTATTCAGGCAATTATTAAATGTTCCGCCATTTTGTAGTAGGTGTAGATATTGACTTCATATTCTAGGGTTATGAAGTATTCGTCAGGAGCTTCAAAATGATGTGTCACAAGACCCCCCTCTCCATTTATTTTTTTTCCAAATGGCGCCCAGTCGCCATCTTGAAAGTTTCATCTGTCAATTTTACTTCAAAAGAAAGTATTCATGCATTAATTTCATTATCCCAAATTTAAATTTTTTGAGTTGACCCGTTTAAAAAATAAAAGGGAGGGACATTGAAGAAATGCACTGTATGATACTCTTTTAATATTCACGTGATTGCTCACCTCGCTTCTCTAATACTAACTCACCACTACTCGCGTTAAACCAATATTGATGATCCGATTGTCAACCTGCTACTTGTATAGCGGTTCTGTATTTCTGGTATTTTCTGGAAACTTCGAGTATTGGGTGTTCAAGAAGCGGTGTTACAAGCCTCATATACAGCGGAAGCAGATTCGAATACTGGGCAGAGCCGCTGTGTTGCCAGATTTTAAACAATTTCCTCAATTTAGGGAAAAAGCAAATGTGGAATGTCGTGTTCATTAAATTTTTGTAAAAAAAATCATAACTCAAAAATCTCATGTGTTAGGAAATGAGTACAATCATTTTCGCATTTAGGAACCAAAAATTAACAAAAAACTGCCTTTGGCATTACAGTCGTGAATTAGCTGTAAACTAGTGTAATTATTGTGTTTCATATAATGTTGTATATCAGGGTTACCTATTTCAATAAACATATTCTTCTTCTTCTACATAAATTATTGTTATTTTTTCATTATTATTTCGATAATGCATTTTTTATTTTATTTTTTTTAAATAATAATCGTTGCCATTCTGGTGATAGACGTTTTATTTGCAGGCCTCAATGGGAGGTAAACCAGGAGCGAAAATTCGAACAAAAGCCCCCCAAGTGAGGACGTCACCCGCGCCAAAGGCAGATGCAGCAAATCAAACACAGATCAAGCCATATTCCAATTTGCAACATCCCATTGTCGGAAACAAGTATGTCTTTTGTTGCTAGTTTTCTTGCCCTTCATTAAAATTATTTTGCAAATCATTCCCCACTTCTATGTTTGTTTATAATATTTATGTAGTTCCTCCGTGCATATATTTTTCACAAGTTAAATTACTGAAAAAAAATTAAACCCGAAAGTTTCATGAACTGCAAATTATCACAGTAGACATTTCCTGGTGTATTTATATAAAAATAATAATTCCATTAAGAAATTATCAAAACCAAGATCATGTCTGACAGTTATACGAGGGGTACTATTTATATTTTGGGAATAGCAAATAATAACAAACATTTTTCAATGAAAATGGCTTTATTGTTTTCCAAATATTCCCCTTGATGATCAATATGCTTCAACTGCTTCTTTAGCGTTCGTAAATCGTTAACCACGGAGTTCACCTTTGATATTCGTGAACAAGAAGAAGTTACTGGGTGCCAAATCAGGACTGTACGGAGGATGCTCGAAAATTCACCTGTTTGATGAGATGAGAGCTTGCATTGTCATGATGGAGAATGATTCGTCCTCTGCGGTTAGTTTTACGAATTTCTCCGAAAACTTCCGGCAAACAAATGGTCGTGTACCGCTCAGAATTGACCGTTCTACGTTGCTCAAGTGGAACAGTGGCCACATGATCCATTCGGCCAACGAAACAGGCGACCATTTGCTTCGCTGTGCTTCTTCCACGAACAACTGTTGTTGGATTTAGCTCGTCTTGGCGATCGAACTACAACCACGACTGAATTCACTATACCAGCTTTATACTGTGGTTTTTGATGCTGCTTTACTGCCATACACAGAACTGAGTTCATCGACACATTCTTGTTGAGATAATCCACATCGAAAGTTGTAAAAAATAATCCGACGAAAACTTCTCTTGAAATTTCCATTTTTTGGTCAAATTAATTTTCGTAACTCACTGTCAACAAAACAAATAGCACTTGTACATCAGAACGTTGTGAGTACATTCATGCTAGAAAATGTCAAACTTTATTATGATTTTGCCACATTTTAACTATTGACATTAGTGTTGCCAGTTCGAAAAATATAAATAGTCCCCCCGTCGTATAATGTTATTTTTTGGTCAATTATCATTATCAGTGAAATCAAATCTATCAATGAATAAAATAATGAAATCCTGCTTCTGATAAATATCTGGAATAGTTGTTGAATACTAACTCGGAAATTGATATCTACCAGAAAATTTGGCACATACAATAATTTGCACTTTCAAAATTTCAGAATGGTGGTAATGGCTCCGGGTTCGCCCATGACAGCAGAAAAGGCCCAACAAATAGCGAATCAAAACAAATCTCAGCAGCACGCTCAACAACAGCAGCAGCAGCAGCAGCAAGCCCAACAGCAGGCTGTTGTAATGCATCAACAGATACAGCAGCAGCAAGCGATGCAACAGTATCAAATTCAGCAAGGACAAGCACAGCAGCAGCAGCAGCAACAACAACAGCAGCAGCAGCAGCACATACAACCTAAACCAATGATGAGTGAGTCATTAAATATATCTTTCAAACATGCCACTGTGCAAGAAATTGTATTTTATTGTTTTTTAATAGTGAGTGAGTTTTGTGTATGATTATTGGATAATATAATTTATTTTCCAGTCTCAAAAAATCACAAATTATTAGAAAATTTATACAAGTAACAATGATTTTTAAAAAATTTGAAAAAATTGATAAAATCTTTATTGGAATCGATAGAATGATCAAAATAATTTAATATTTGAAGATGATTTCATGCAAATGTTGTCTGTGGCTCCGCTTAATATGGCCCATGTGCAAGGTCCAATTTTGGCACCCTCTCTCTAAAATATCGACCGGTATTTCACGTATAAATGCTTCAATATTGGCTTCCAGAGTGTCAGCCGTTGCTGGTTTATCCCTGTAGACATGAGCCTTAACATGACCCTACAAGAAATAATCCAAAGGCATTAAATCACACGATCTAGGTGGCCAATTGACGGGCCTCAAACGTGACATAATAAACTCCAGATGCGGCAATTTTGCTTGTTAACGTATCCATTCAACCAGAAATGAGCCTCGTCGCTGAACACAATTTTTCGATAAAAGTGTGGATCTTCTTCCAACATTGCCAGCGCCCATTCACCAAATGTTATACGTTGTGGGAGGTCGTGTGACTTCAATCCTTGCACCAGCTGTATCTTTCTTATAAAAGGTTTCACACCCAAATCCTTTTGCAAAATTTTCCACGTAGTGGAGTAACAGAGGCCAAATTGCTGCAAACGGCGGCGAATCGACATTTCACGGTCATCACGAACACTGGCGGATACAGCCGCAATATTTTCTTCGGTCCTCACTCTACATATGTGTGTTGGTGGTTTAATGTCCAATAATGTAAACTGGGTTCGAAATTTAGTCACAAGCTTCCTCAGTAGGCCGACGAAACTGCCTATAAATTGGAAGAAGTGCACGATGCAGTTTCTTCACCAAGCATGAATTTTGATAATAAAATTCAATAATTTACAAGCGTTGTTCATTCGTAAGTCGATTCATGGTTAAATTATAGACCAAACTGAACAAGTTTGACAATGACACAAGACACGATTCACGCGTGATCTGTCAAAAACAGTGTTGCCAAAAAGATACCAGCAAAAAAAACTATTTTGAACTATAATTCAACATGGATTGTAACATAATATTGTGATCTAATAAAATAATATTTCTCTTGGAATTTTAGAATCAAGCACTTATGTAAGAATTTATGTTGAATGTTAGTAACTGGTGAAAACCAATTTCAATATTATTGGTATTGGGTGAATTCATCAATACAAACTCAGTACTATATATGATAAAATCATTTCAAAATAAACTCTTTACAAAAATGTAGATCGAGAACAGATACAAACTGGAGGAAAAAGCCCTTTCAAAACAATTATATTCAAATACGTATATCAACGCTGAATTACACAAAAAAAATTCTCAGTCAGTCTTGTTCCCCAAACAACAGATATAATTTATAAAAACACTACACTATGTAATATTATGGAAGAGTATTGATATAAATTTCATTTACATAGGCAATTATCATCTATAAGGTGAACTTCTTCAAATTTTTGTATCCAAAATACTTGTCTTCAACTCCTCATCATCACTGATTTGAACTATTAAATTCAAAAACACACATTTGTCGCATGAAATAACAAATGTATGTCACCGAAAAAGACAAATTTGCTCTTGTCAGGATGACAATTCATAAAGACAGCCTGTTTAGTTCTTTGAAATAATCCCAGCCGTAGATATTTTGATTAAATTGAAAAGGAAATGTTTAAAAGATTTTTAGATAATTTGTTTTTAAAAAAAAATCTTTATGGCTGTCTACTTCTCCATCTCTATATAGGAAATGTGGAGAAAACTCCCGAAGAAAGAAAGAAAGTAATAAACTTCAAAATAAACTTTTCACAAAGATGATGCGTAGATCATGTAAAGAAGCAACTGTCAAACACAAACTGGAAGAAAAAGCCCTCTTGAAACAACTACCTCAAACATATGAACATTGAACTACCTACCCGAAAATAATCTTTTTCTTGCTGTCTGTACTCGAAAAATTTGTTGTGGAATTGAAAAAGATGTCATTCATAGGAACGCTATACAATTTAATGTATGAAAGTTGTGAACAACTGTTTTCAATCCGAAACTTCGAGTACACCATAAGGATGATAGTTGCTCATGTAAGTGAAATTTTATGTCAATCCTCCGTTTCAATTCCATAACCAATGTTTGGACTGAATAAGAGTTTTTTTATCTAAAAAACACTTATTTGCATGATCACATCTCTGTGAATAGTTTATTTTGAAGTTAATTACTTTCATTTTCTTTCCTTTGGACTTTTCCCACATTTCCACAGATGAGAAGTAGAAAGTTGACAACCTTTCCCAAAATCTATTCTCATTAAAAAACATCCCCTTTTCCATTTAAATGACAAAATCACATCATGACAGTAAAACCTTTTTCTAATGATTTTTTGACAGTTCATTCCCAAATGTTTTTCCAAGGAATAAACTGAAAAAGTTCTTCACTATAATCATAGTTAAAGCATTTGAACTAATTAACTAATTCAAACTTACATGAATAATTGCCACAATGTTAAATGTTTGTTTATAATATTTATGTCAAAAAATTCTATACTATTGTTACATTTTCAGTTCAAACTCTGTCCCCTCTGAATTCCCAACAACTACAAATGGCAGGCGATCGTCCCATCATGCCCGTGGTGTCAATGTCAGCACAGGCAAATGCTCAACAAGTCCAGCAGATGCAACAGCAGATACAAAACAGTCTTCCATTGCAGTCTAATCTGGCTGTTACACAACAACCAATGCAAATGAATATGCAACAGTTGCAACAGGTATGAAAACAGTTTTTTTTTTAAGTACAGTTTTCCCTATGTGCAAACCCAGTAAAACATTAATTTGTTCTCCCATATTTATCAAAATAACAATCGGCGGCGTTATTCTTTATTTTTAACAATCTATACTGCTCTGTTAATAAAATAAGGTGAATTTTCATTTTCCTCAAAAAATTATTTATTTCTTTATCACATTGTAACCCTCAATAAAAAGCTAGCTTCAGGTTGTTTTGCAGTAAGAATAACTTATAAGGATATTGGTTTGTCTGTCGCTAAATCGGCTTATTTCTCACTTGTTGAGTCGCATTTAAGGTACGAAATTCCTTTCTGGGGAGTATGTTGCAAAACTCAAATGCAGACGGTGTTCATTATTCTAAAAAAGGCTATAAGATTTATGTGCAATGCCAAAAGCCAAGACTCCTGCAAACCCCTTTTTGAATTACATAAAATTTTGACAGTTTTTGGAGTCTTCATTTTAGAAACAATATCTTTAATTAACAAACATAAATTGATATTTGGCGGATACTCCAATTATTTATGCCCTTCGTCAAACTAACGACCTAGGATTACCTATACCAGCCTCTACTCCAGTCAAAGACTATATATTATAATGGTCTCAAGATGTTTAATCCTTAAGCTGACCATATTAAAATTTTAGATTTAGAGGATAACTGTATATTTTGAAAATCAGTAAAAGACTTATTATGTGGTAGACCCTATTATAGTTTAGAAGAGTTCTATGAGGACAGCTTTCTCTAATTTATTTTGTCAACTGTATTTTTATTAAATCGACAAAGTATGGTATACTTCATATATATGTATGTGTATATGTTTATGATGACTAATTAAAATTTGCAGCTTTGTCTTTGGGCAATAAAGCATATTATTATTATTATTATTCATCAAGTTCTATTCTGTTCCCTTCAAAGTAGTCCCCCTCAGATATAATACACTTGTGCCAGTATTTTTTCAATCCTCCTGTACATAATGTCATGATATTTTTTGTAATGTCAATAATGATTGAAGTGAAAGGTAATGTCATTAACAATTTCCTTTGTTAGTTACAACAAATGGCTCCACATGGTACAATAATTGGTCAAATCCAAACTTCGCAACCCCAATCCACGGCTATCTCGCAAGTTACAGCAAGCCCTACACATCTTCAGCAAATGCAAGCAGGAGTTCCTCAGCCCATAGCAATTACTCAACCCCAGCAAGTAACCCTGCCTCCCACGATAATGCCAGCTCACGACATTAAAAGTGAAGCCAATTCTACAGATAATGCTGGGCAGAATACAAACATATCGACAGACTCCAATAAAGACCCTGTGGTTGATGGTGAGTTCATTTTTTAAAACCACTTTTTTGAAATATTAATAAAGTAGGATAAATGTGAAATTTCAATTTACACCCTTTCTGAATACATATTTTACTCAAGTAATACTTTATTGTGAGGTTTTCCAAAGGAACAGTTGCATAGTGAAACATGTATTGCGCTTTTGTAAACTGTTCAGTGATAATCTCACAATAATGTGTTACTAGAATACATTATGGATTTTCATCAAGTATCTGCCAAGTATATCACATAATACCTATTTTATTTGAGTTGACAGATCTATATACAAAACATAATTAAAAATTCATTTTCTGAAGTTAAATATGGTTACTTCTGTAGATTACTTCAGAGATTTTAATATATGTACCTCATACCACCTATTTGAATATAATGTTAAATCAAACTAGTGATGGGCTAATTCAAATTAAAAATAATCGATAATTATCGATTATTTTTAATATAATCGAATTATAATTTGATTATCATAATAATTCGAGATATTGAATCGATTATCAGGATAATTCGAATTAATTTTTATATTCTTCGCAATCACAGATCACACGTTTGATACTGTCGGCGGCTGAAGTAAAAATGACTAATTTTTAAAGCGGTTATGTTTGCAAGTATGAATTGCAAATGGTATTAGAACTGCAACTACCTACTTTGGTTATTTGTCATATATATAAGTCAACCACTGATAGTTCCAGAGCCAATCGAGGATGGATAGAGGAATATATGAATAATAATTCAGGAAGGATGAACAGAGTCAACATTAAGATATTTTCAAAAATATTGAAATTAAACTTTAATAAAAAATTCAAACATGAAACAGAATGAGAAGAATCAACAATAGATTAACAAATAAAACGTTTCAAATTAAATAAGTTCTCAATATAAAAATAAAATAAAACAGTCTAAGGCAGTTAAAATGCGTAAATAAACAATGTCTATTGAGTGATTCTCCTGCGCATTGCGAGTGATTTATAATTCGAATGATAATTCGATTATTCATACAATTCGATTACTAATAATTCGATTACCAAAATATTTTGATTATGCCCATCACTAAATCAAACATGTTCAAGAAAGGAAGAGAATCATATGATTAAAATGTTTCCTTTAAAATGATTCAAAAGGGGGAAAATGTTTACCTTAGATTTCTCAATTCCTCAGCCCACTTCTAATTTATCAAAAACAAACATGAAAACCAACACCAAACAATTTCTCTGAAGAAACCAATTCAAATATTCAATGACATGACAACCAAACACAAAATTGATGTCTTTTATCATGTCATATTTATTTTCTTGACATTCACTAGTTTCTTCGTGATGTCATTTGACGAAAACAGCGCCAAATTTGAACTGAACCAAAATTAGATGCCAGTGCCATGGTGGCGAAAGTGCAAAGCACAGATGTTTACATTGGATCTACGTTATACGTTCAATTATATCAGTGTATTTTGATTAAATGTTTTGGAACTGTTTTTATTGGATTTTTCGTTGTAAAAATTTAATATACTATGCTCAAAATTTTAAATCTGAGAGACAGATTTCATACTGCCTCTGACGTCATGAAAACATTTAAATGACAATAAGTCAAGGAGGTAACCTTTCGACGTGTAGAATCGGTGCCTTGTTCTGCTGTTAATTTCGGTAATACCAATCGCTTTGATATGGTTGGCTTCATTTTATGTCTTGTCATTTTCAAATCAAAAAGCTTCATGAATATCTGGTTTTCCCGATTACATTTTTTCATTATACTATTAACTGTTTTATGTGTTTAATGTACGCAGTTATATTAATTGATGCATAATAAATTGTATGATGTCAGAAGGTATATTTTTATTTCATACCTTTTACAGTTGAATATAATGCTTCTGAAAGAGTTGACATTGAATTAAGAATACAGATCCTTCTACAGATTGAAATAATTACATTTTGATGGTACATAATATTATTGAAGGCCCACCTGAATTTCATTTGACAAATGGATGTTATGTATGTCATCTGTAAAATCTTGGTATGGAAATATGGAACTTAGATATCGTCATTTAAAAAAAAGAAATTACTGCAAAACTTGCGACAATTTTGAAAATCCAAGTACTTGTGAATTATCTGTTATAATATATAATTATTTCTGTCCTTGTAGCTACATCATCACAACCTGACCTGAAGGAATCACCCCCCACAGTGGAAACCAAACCCCTTGTTAATGGAGTTGAACCAATGGTCGTCCAACCAGCTCCAATACCTGGAACTGCTCCCTCTCAACCATCCGGCGTTGGTTCTGAAAATGGTTTACCAGTGGCTGCAACTGCAGAGGAAGTCAAAGAGAGATGTCCTCCAAAGGCAATGGTTAAACCTCAAGTTCTCACTCATGTCATTGAAGATTTTGTCATTCAAGAATCTTCCGAACCGTTTCCGGTTACAAGGAGCAGTCTTCTTGGTGATATAAAACCTACCCAATCTTCCAATGATAAAGATGCTGATGAGCCACCTCGTAAGTTCCATCATTATTAAAATTTGATTGATTTATGAAAATGAATTCTTATTTTGGATTATATAGATGATATACCATTTTCTCATCAGTTGAAAATTTATATATAAATAGTAAATTTGAAATCTGTTTGATATTGTCGCACTGTTATAAAACCTAACACATTTATTAATTTATTTGAGATAGTAGAATTTAATGAACTTCTACTGCTACGTCCATAAATTGAAATTTCTGCTGTTTTAGCAATATTTTGTTCTTTATAATGTTGATATCAAACAGATTATAGAGGCATGTATAATGACTTCTAGCTACATATAAAAAAATGTGTATAGGCATCACCAATAACACAGGTCTTCAAAAAAAACTTTAAAAAAAATTGTTTTGATTTCGTTAACTGGTCTTTATGTAGTTTTTTGCGCTGATTTCAAAAATGACATCTATCACGTAAGATTTGCCTATAAAATAAGGATAAAATAATTGAAAAAGTACAAAAAACGAGAAATTGTGGATTTATTTTGATTAATTTAACAAGAAGTAAAAGCAAAAAAACAATGCTACATAGCTAAACTAAGCATAATAGTGATACACAAGTGTTTGCAAAGTGATTATAAGTCTTTGTGAAAACGTTTTCTTTTTCCGTCGAAGCTTCTTTTGGTACCTTTTTCGGCTGTGTTCTTTAAAACATCCAACAGTAGCCTGCCATCAATGTTAACATTCCACCGACCTTGGTATTTGCGTTCCATTTCTTTTATGTCTTGAGGGAACCATTCTCCTTGTTCCTCATTTACAGCCCCTAGATTTTCAGGAAAGTAGTCCAGATGTGAGTGAAGGAAATGGACTTGACACTCATGTTGCAGCCCAACATTTTGTAGTTTTGTATTAATTCAGCAACCAAAGTTTTGTAGTTTGGGTCTTTTTTGTTTCCAAGAAAGCCTGTTATAATAAGATTGAATGAATTCCAGGCATTTTTTTCTTTCATTTCCATTTTAGTGACAAAGCTTTCATCTTTTGAAAGTTTTCTTATGTCAGGCCCAATGAAAACTCCTTGTTTTAGTTTAGCATCGGATAGACCAGAAAACTTTTCAGGAAGATACTTGAAACAATCTCCTTCTTTATCTAATGCTTTCACAAACTATTTCATTAGCCCCAATTTGATAAGGAGTGGTGGAAGTAAGATTTTTTTAGGATCCACTTAACTTTGTTTTTCAACATTTTCAACTCCAGAAATAAGACCCTTTCTTATTGGCCACACCTGCTAGAAATAGTGTTGTTTCCTGTCACGGCTATCCCATTCACATAGAAAACATGGAAACTTAGTGTAACCACTTTGTTGACCTAGTACCATAGAAATAACTTTCAAGTCTCCACAAATGGTCCACTTATGATCAGAGTGCCTGAGCTTATTAAGAACAAATTTTCGAAGCATTCTTTCGAATGGACTGAGTGTCCAACAGGCACAGAAGCATATTGTTTCCCATTGTGAAGAAGTACAGCTTTCAAACTTCTTTTTGATGAATCGATGAAAAGTCTCCATTTCTCTGGTTCATACATTATGTTGAACATTTCCATAATGCCGGGTACATTGTTGCAGAAAACTAGGTCACCCTCTTGTGTAAAAAGAGGGACAAATTCCCTTTCTCTAAATCGGTACCGTGAAAATGAAACACATACATGCCTTGTTCCAGTAGGAACTGGATTTTTCCAGTTTAGATTCGTTTTGTTATTGAAATAAATAGATTAAAACCGTATTTTATCTTAGATATACACTCACATTGTGTAGTAACTTGTTCATCATAAAAGCTCCATAATTCAGACTCAATTTACAGCTTATATAGGCTGTATAATACAGAAACATCGAACCCATACCGAACCTAAAAACCCATTTAATAAGAAGATTTCAGGTGAAATTTGTGACTTATCAATATGTGATAGATTTTTTTTACTATCTTTTCCGTAATCTGCACACAAAATACTGTTAAAATCACTAGTTAAATATCCTACAATTTTTTCATCGCATACCTGTGTAATAAATGATGCAGTGAAAGTTCAATATCATCTTTTTGTACCTTGAATCTCAAAGTTAAATTATTGATAAAAGAAAACAATTTTATTTATCACCTCTTTTCAGGAGTAGATACAAACAATAAATATGTAGGTCTTCATGAGGACTTTTTTTATAAAACCTCTGCAGTTGAGAAATTTATGAAAAAATTTCTCATATACTAATTGTTCATAAGGATCACTAGAATTTTCAGGTATTGCAATATCACATTTCTTTGATCTTTATTTTATTCAGTGACACCGAAACACACTTTCAATTTCTAATACATACTATTATAAATATCAATACAGGTTCATAATGTGAAAAGGAAACTTCAGTTATATTTCCTCTATATTAAATATTGAATGGTTTATATGGAGTGACCTCCAAAATATTGATTTTTACACACGTTAAGTGAAATTGTTTGTTTCAGGGAAGAAACGTGCATTATCTCCAAGCTACGGTATCGGTTTGGGTAATAAGGAAGAAATGGCTAAATGTGAAGCATGTGGTACAGTTGATCTCAAAGTGAAATTCAAGAAAAACAAGAGATTTTGCTCACTCTCCTGCTCGAAGAGGTATTTATTCATTTCAGAGTTCATTTAAAACAAAAAAAAATTGAAGGAGAGAATTTGTTTCATTAAATTTGGTATTTTGGAGAAAGACCTTGCATAGTAATAGGGGAGGTCTGAGAAAAAATAAAGTGAATTTCTTCCCCTTCAAAGTAGTAGCTCTCAGATATATGAATCCGAGTTCTCTGACCCAGCATCACTCAGGGATAAAGTTACATCCGCTGTTCCAGACGAGACTACATGCTAAGTCGACAAAATCAAACTTATAAATTATTGTTAATTTAATAATCATCCATTCTTGTTACCTTGCTCGAATTTTAACGTTGTATTTGTTCGACTATTATTCATAAGGTTTCTCTAAAACTATTAATTGTTTAACTAAAATTGCAAACAAAACAGATAAGCTGTTACCAACTTATCTGCTTTGTTTGCAATGTCTGGACTCCTCCTTAGGCCCTCAGGTAAACACCCACGTTTTTCTAGTCCGAAATCGGTTTTGATGTCGTGTGTTTCCGACGAAAAAATGCACTTATCCTACCGACTGCGCCCGTTACGTATGCGATATACGAAAATATTTTTTTTAAAGACTTTATTTTGAACAAATACAACGTTACAGTTCAAGCAAGGTAACAAGAATGGATGAATAATAAATTAACAATAATTTATAAGTTTGGTTGTGTCGACTTAGCATGTAGTCGCGTCTGGAACAGCGGATGTAACTCTATCCCCGAGTGATGCTGGATCAGCGAACTCGGGTTCATAACTTACACTTGTGACAACTTTTTCCAATTCTCAAAGCAGTTCTGATATGCACCTTTTGATGTGTCAATGAGCTCTTAGCGATTCGGGTTTTATTTCTTTAATCGTCGCAAAACGTCTTCCTTTCATGGGTCTATTGAGAACAGGAAAAAGTCGCAGTGTGCCAAATCTGGTGAATACGATGACTGAGGCATGATTACGGTGTTTCTGGACAAAAAATTACCAACAAGCTATGATGGGTGAGCACGTGCATTAACGTGATGTGAAAGTCTTGAATTATTTTTCCACAATACCGGACTTTTTCTTCGTATTGCTTCTCGCAAGCGGCGCATAACTTCAAGCTATTACTCCTTATTGACCGTATGACCATGTGGCAAGCACTCTTTATAGACTACTCCAAAGTAATCGCAAAAAACAGTGAGAAAAACCACGAAATTTTTTGGTCAAAATTCGGCAATTTTGGAACGAACTTCAATGCCAATACTTTATGCTCAAAATTTCCGAATAAATTGCATGGCTTGAGTCAACGGATATGCAGATATGGTGATTCGACGATTCTCCATAACAATTTTCTTCACTTTCTCAACATTTTCATTGGTTGTTGATATGCTGGGACGTCCAGAGCGAGCGTCGTCATTCACATCTTCTAGACCTTTTGTGAAAAGCTTGTACCATTTGTAAACATTTTTCTAACTCAGGGTAGAGTCGCCGTATGCCACTGTCAACATTTAAAGTGATTTTTTTTATATAAGCTTCATTTGTTGTCTCATCAACTATTACAGTTATTAAAGACATTCATAATGATAGTGAATACATCAAAACTGGGTAACGGTACTAAATTTTGTTTAAGAGATTGGTTTGTTTTAAAAACTTGATCACATGTTCGGCTGCGCTGCATTCTTCTAAGATCTGGGTGATATTCTCTGGGATGTTATTGTCCTCACTTTGCTGGTAATATAATGGGCATTCTTGGAGAATGTGTTTTACAGTAATTTTTGTCTGGCAAATATCATAGTGTGGTTCTTCTGTTTTGTCTTTCATAAATATGTCCATGGGTTAGCCTTGTGTGTCCTATACGTAGTCTTGTGAAAATGACATGATGTTTCCTAGGCATTGGGATGTATTTCCATTGTTTTACCGGCTTTATTTCCTTCAGCTTTGACCCATTGGTGCTCCATTGTTGTTCCGGCAATTTATCAGAATTTTCCTCACAATTTTTTTGAAATCGAATGGGATAATTATAATCGTACATGGGGGTACTTCACTCTTTGTTGCAATTCTTGCTAGTAGCTCAGTTTTTTCATTTTCCTCAATCCCGATGTGTGATGGAATCCATAGGAATATAATATTCTGTTTACCCATTTGAAGTTGTTGGGGTTCTATTTTTATCATTCGAAGAATTGCATCATGAGGATAGATTTGGGAAAGGCTCATTATGGAGCTAAGAGAATCAGTAGGGATAAAGGAGTTTGATAATTTTTCATTTTTTGCAAATTCCAAGGCTTTCCATACATCGTAGAGCTCTGCATTGGAAACACTGAATGTCGAGGGGAATTTGAGCATTTAATTCCATGTTTTACAAAAAATTTGATGTCAATTCTCTTCGATTCATATTCTTCGACAGCAGAAAATTGACGAACACGCAAAACACTTCTGACTTTCATGCATCTCACCAACAAACTAAACAGTTTGTTGTGAGACAAGTTCACCAACATAAAAAAATCGTTGAGCTAACCTACGTAGACCGCGAAATTTGAACATTCACTTTATTTTTTCATCAGCACTTGTATATAAAAGAGGAATACTAAGTCTTTTCACTAAACTAATCAAAAATTTTCGTTGTCAAACATTTAGTGAATGTCTTTTGTATTTCACATTTCTGTATGTTTATTACAGTGGCAAATATAAGTCGGAAGACAAGAAGAAATGGAACAAAGATGGAATGGAGGTTGATACCGAGTCTGGTGCGTCAGGAGCTGAAAGTAGTCTTAGTCCTAAGGCTGTGGAAGACGATACACCTAAAGTTGATCCTTTCAAGTGGAGCGTAAGTATTTACTTATGACGTACTGTTTGGAACCTTTGGTGTAGTAATGAATATTACTGGAGTTTTTTCCCAACACCAAATCGTTAAGTTTTATCTTCCTCTTGAAGATGATCACTTGGTGATCGAAACACGTGTCGAGGTGTAAAAAAAAACGATTTGGTGTTGGGAAAAAACTCCAGTAATATTCGTAAGTATTTACATTATTATTGCTCAAATTCATCCTATTTTGAAAGACTCCACAGTAATGTTGGTCTACTTGAAATGGTATCTGAATAAACTCTCGTTCATAAGATGAATTTTTCAAATGATTTCAGGTCCAAGAGGTATTCAACTTCATCAAGAATCTTCCGGCGGGATGTGCAGAGTACGCTGAAGATTTCCTTATACAAGAAATTGACGGTCAGGCTCTCATGTTACTCAAAGAGGATCATTTAATGACTGCCATGGCCATGAAGCTAGGTCCCGCTTTGAAAATACTGGCAAAAATTGACGATATGAGAATCGACAAAGAACTGCCGAAGCAATCTTAGAGTAACTCGGCTTTGTTTGAAGTTCTGTATATATTTTATTTATCTCACTTCTTTAAGACTGTTTCAGAATACAATTTGATTTAGAAACTGGTGGTGACGTATTTCATTCAAGGAAATTTGTTTAGTTTTGTACGTCCATCTTGTAAATTTGTATATTCCACATTTTATATTAAAATGGTTATCCAGAATAATTGTACAGAGAAAAATATATAGATATTATATTAGCAAATATCTTAGATGTGATCAAGGTATTCGGCATAACTTTGTAAATTTCATGTGCAGAAGTTGCAGCATTTTTCAATTACGTTATTTATTATCCTTTTATAATTGTGCAATTTTCGTTTAACAAAATCATTTGTAACTTTATAATTATAGATAATATCCGATGATATTTGTTACTATACTGCCATTAATGATAATAAATTTGTAATTTGTATTACTGTTTTAATGTTTCCTCCATCGATACTGATATAAATGTGAAAGTTTGTGAGGATGTATGTTTGTCGCTCTTTCACGACTGAACGGATTTGGATGAAACTTTACATAAATACAGATATCATTCACATGAGTTCTACTTTAAATAAATGGTAACAAATTGCACTTACATGGAACGCTGTCATCCTCACTGGTATACAACCGATGTTTAGGGAAATTTCTGGAGGTCCCTATATACTGGTTTTGTTTTGAGTTGTCACAATTAAATTCATTTTATGTCAAAAATCTGCCTTCCATGAGATTATGGACCTTCTTGTAATAGTTGACAGGTTTATTAAGTTTGATACAAATAGTAATTGCTGCAATTTCCGCCAATTATATTCTACAGAGTATATTGTCGTTGAAGGCTCTGAAAGGCTTTGAGAATTTTGACACTTAGAAATTCGCTGTGCGAGCATATTAAGAAAATGTGGAGGCATGAACTGCGTTTTAGGTTCAGAAAATAATCTTAAAAGTATCACTAAGTGACGTTCAAAATTGATTTTATCGGTTTATCCGTTGAATTATGTTCATATTCAAAATACAACCACTGCAACACAAGTTTGGGATAATTTGACGAAATTAAAAGAGTGTAGCCCGATTGATGAGTATGTTGCACATAAGTTAATTACAGCAGGTCTCACGATGAACGACAAATGGACAGGAACGATACTTCTTGCTGATTTACCTACTTGTTAGGAACGATGATGATGGATATTGAAACATCTGGAATTCTCATTACGGCAACAGGTGACAATGCTGCAGTACTGTTGAGTAATATTCATTACTACACCAAACAGTGCATCACAAGTATATTATATATGATCTTCTCAATTTTCACATAACATAAACATGAAAAATAGTTGAAGAAAACGTTCAAAATAACTCTGTCCTTGGAGAAGAATATATTATGTAATATTTGCTTACCCAAAACATTTATTTGGTTGCTCGGTCTTCCGTTAACAACACACGAATGCACTAGTGTCTCAAATTTCTTTCTAATCAACTAAACATTTGATTGTTCGGTATACGACGATTCGGGTATGTCTCATCACACATATTTCTTGCCAAAAGAAGATTTCCATTCCAATTTGCATAAATGAATAGCATACCAGTCCTTTCCATACATCTTTAATATGTAACCAAGTACATAAATATCTGACAGTTTGAAAATGGTATATAAAGTGAGATGCTATTCAACTGTACCAAATTAGACAACAAGTGAACTTTGAGGTAATGCCTGTCAATAGTTGAATGTGGTTTGAAATAAAAACAATTTACAAAAGAACTAATGACAGGACAACTATTTGAAATTGTCGGCACTGACAATGCTAGTTATTTCAAATGAAACACTATAAAAATGTCAAGTGTGATATATCACTGAATTGTGAATTTTTTGCTTCATCAATATTTGTAGTGAGACAGGTTCGTATTTGAAAGAAAAGTTGATGGGCATGTTGACACGTAACGTTAAATCAAAGATCTATTGTTACATTGCTATAGAACAATTCAAATACAATGAAACTCACCCTGTACATTTTTTATATTTTTTTTATTAACCCTATTTGTAAAAAACCAAAAAAGACAATTCAAGTTTTTCCTGTATAACTTGAGAAGGGTGAAAGTTCCTGTAAAATTTCTTTGACCATTCTCATGATAATTACTTTTTTTCCCGTTTAATTGTCTTCATATCTGTTATGGTTTAGAGTATAGCAATGTTACCAGGTGATAAAAGAAAGGACATATTTAAAGAAATGAAAACAATAATAAAAATATAAAAACGTTATATTTCAATAAATCACTTCCTCAAACAATTCTTTCTCTAGAAGGTATTGTCGTTTCCATTTCATACTCTATTTCTATCCTTGGCTTACGTGATTTTGTTCCAGACGACCCTGGTGTGAATTTCTTGTTCTTACTAATGGGAGTTTTACCCTTCTTCGACTGACTCTGCAGCAAATCCTCGATGTCAGAACCATCGGATGATTCAAAACTGCTGTCCAATTCAACTTTTTGTATACTACCACTATCACTGTCACTATCATCTTCTGAATCTGCAGCCACAAATGCAGGTCCTTCTTCTTCTATTTCAGTTTCCATTTCATGTTCAATTTCCGACTCACCCTCTTCTTCCGATTCCAGTTCTCCTTCTTTTTCTGCATCGTCGAAAGCTTTCTGGGAAATGTTATACAAATCTTGGTAGACCCCTTGCTTCAATCGATCCAGTAAAGTTTTTTCTACTCCCTTCTCTATTCTGGCAGCAATCAAGGCTTTTTCTTCTCTACGTTTTTCCCTTCTCTCTACTTTACTCTGTATTGGAACCAACAGTTTCTGCCTTCTCAATTTCAATTTCCGCATCCGAATAAGGTACTGAGTTATTTTAACAAATCTCTGTTTACATTTGGACTTGATAAAACCTGGCCAGTATAATAAGTTTTCATTAATCTGGTAAATGGCTTTCTCAAAGTTCTTCGATAATTTCACTTTCTCCCAGGTTTTCCTCGGAAACGCAGATCGTTCTGCAGTTTTCATGAATAAATAAATTATACCATTTTCTTCTCTTACTGTAGCATACTGGCTATTAGCTAAAGGACATGATGATCGATTACACAGACCAGTCAGGTTGTACTCATTCCTACAGAACTTCTGGGTTTTTGTTTGAGTCTTGTATGAACAAAATGATTTATTGATTATACTCCAAACAACATCATCGTGCTGCATTTTGATTCAACGATCTCTACTACAGAAAATAAAATTACATTAAATAACCTCACATTGACAATTCACGTGAAAAGGAAATTCTTCTTCTTTGGTTTTTCTAGAACCTAAAACCATCGGACAATGTATGTTCACAGGGTTAGGCCTCAGAAGAGTGATCAACTTCATGTAATGTTGAAATAAAAGACGGGAAAGTTGTCAACTATTATATCCCTGTTATCAGATGAACCAACATTATTATTTAGTGAAAAGGGGAAGAACACCAAGAAATAGGGAAAATGAAAGATGCATTTGAAAATATAAACTTGTACATTTAAATTAAGATTACATTGAAACTGTTTTATTAATTTTCCTAGAAAAATCACTTCTAGAAGATATTGTAAATTCTAATTTGTTCAAAAGGTTGACAAGAGTAGAAAAACTCTGAAAAATTAAATCTAATCCAAGCAGTGTTGCCAATGACCTAGTAATTACAAGGATCGTGTGTAATTAGGGATTCTTCCTGTGAATTTTCGAACAGAATTCATTTTGGGTAATTACAGGGTATTCGAACTCACGATAGGGTAAACATCCTGGCATTATTCTGTATAATGACGGCATTCATGATTACCAACAATTAAATATAAAACCCGGTCACTACTTCACTTAACCCTTATTCCTAACCTAACCATTCGCTATAATGTACCATTTCGAATTGGCGCCAGTAGCAACGGTAATAATGCTAATCACACATTATATACCAAATTAACTAGTGCATATTCAGTGTATTTTTATCTTTTCCCATCGCTACACAGCTTGAAGGATAGAAATATCCTTATCGTGCACGAGTACTTCTAAAACAATTTGCCGTTGCATGTATAAATAGGCAACTTTAGCTATTTACTATTTATTCACTCTTGTGGGGATTTTGAAATACACAAATTTTACAAATTGAGCCTTGAGAAGTAAAAACGTAGGTATCGAACATTTCGTATCAATCGACGAAGAGATTGACTTTCGAATAGCAACATATTTCTTGTTTTTAACATATATTTTAATCTGAAAACGTCGACTTCTTCAAAATGTTGAGTAATTACAGACACACTTGTGGGTAATTTGACGATTAACCATTGACAACTCTGGATCCAAGTGAAAACCTTATATTCTCTATTGATCGGTAATTTCAAAAATCAATTGCCAGAGAAAAAGGACAAATCAGCAGTAGATGGATGAAGAAGAGTTGTGAATGAAGAGTGTTCATTAGCTGCTATGGATGGTGCTTCCGCAGGTTGGGTTAGCAAACTTGGGCTTACGGATTCAGAATGTCTATTCTTCATCACTTGACGATCAGGAGTTCTGGATCAGTAACATGGTCATTACCATCTTGACTTGAACTGGGGGCATCTGAAGAATCTTGCTGAGGTTAAAAGAGCTGTTTGGATCCAAGGGCATTAGAAGACGAAGCTGTTTGAGAATCATGTTTTTGACCAAAAGTTTGACTTGTACTGGGAGCACCAGAAGAAAGCAAGCTTTCTGCACTCAACCGTATCGAGACCATAGCCCATCCTGGAACAGTTAATTAAATACTCCTTCAACGCATTTTCTTGAATTGCACTGAATACGACTCTATTGGCATAATTTGGAGTAAGTCGCATATTTTCGGCTTCTTGCGATGTAATTTTTTTCTTTGCAATGTCATGAAGTTAACATTCTTTTCAGTTACTGCTTTTCGAAAACTAATACCACTTTTAACCATCAGAATTGCTTCTGCCATATTTTTTTCAGTATGAAGACCGTAATCCGTCTTCCTCTTACGATTTCGCACCATTTTCCTTTAATACCTTCAAATAATAAAAAAATATTTTAATTGGGGCTGACTGTTACAGTGTCACACAGTGCCCCGTAATACAGTACCCCGGAGGTACAAGCCTAATAAATAATGCGGATGAGTATTTTAGGTTATGTTTGCAACAAACTACTTGCCGGTAATTTATAGCGAAATATACATGAAATAAAGGGAAATTAACATGACTTACCCAAACACGATACGCCCGGAAAGAAATGAAAAACTTTGAAATGATTCATATCATAACATCATAAAAATACAAGAAAGGAACAGAGATATTTGCATTGTAACATTGTACCCCGTGTAACACTGCGCCCCCTCTGACCCTACCGCAGTTTTGCCTATTTTACGCTACCGAGAGGACTATTCGGAATGTGGTGGATAAATTTGAGTCCACTGGTTCAGTAAACGATCGACCAACACTCGTACGTTGACGAAACGCAAGATCTGCCGAAAGCATTGCCGTTGTCTGTAAGAGTGTGCAGGATAAAGGCCGGGACACACCTGTAATACACCCTTCAGATCCGATACACATCATATAGTCGGACGAGTGTCTGAGAGGGAAATGGTACTTTAGTCACAGATATTTACGGCCGATTTCATAATCAACATCTAAAGTCCATTTTGCCGAAAGGAGACTTTACACTAAAGTCCCCTTTGAAGTAGCTGTTGCCGTCATTTGGTTTCATAATTAATATTAAAGTGTCCTTTCCAGAAAGTATCTTTTAAGTAATTTTCAAGATGTTGGTTAACCTGGAATTCATGGATTCAGACGAAATTTGTCATATTTCGCGAGTATTTAAGTTCCATGTTTGAATAAGTAAGGTTAAGAGTTGTGGTGTTTGGTGTTTTTGTTATTTGTATTTGTGAGGACGATTTATTTGGACAGAAATGGAAATGTTAAAAAATAAGAAAGTTCGCTCATCAAATTTTTCTCGGTAGGAAGAAATTAATTTATTATGAGAAATTGAAAAATTCAAGCATATATTAGAACAAAACTACTGATAAAGTAACTAATGCAGAAAAGATATGTATTACAACTACAAGCAATGTTTTGTGTGTATTTTATTTATTGTAGAATACATGTTCATATAATCGTAACCCTAATTTTACTTCATCAAGGGTGAAGCTTGAAATAATAAATTAAAACTATATATATTTATGTAGTTAGATACCTCAATATAAATAAATTTAAATATAATTTTAGGAAGAGGCATGGCGCAAAGTACTTTCCAGCTTCAACTCCAGAAATATACAAGTGAGAAGTATATCTCAGATTAAAGCAAAATTTGAAAATCTAAAAACAAAAGCTAGAAAGGATATGGCGAAACAAAAATCATATATGACGGGAACATGGGGTGGTCCCGCAATAAACATTGATTTAGATCCTGTTACAGAAGCAACCCTAAATATAATAAATATGAAAACGGTGGTGGGTTTGAATAACAGCTTGGATAGCGATTTCATAAATGACATCTTTGACATATCTAAAAACGATTGAAAGTTGTGATGTACAGGTAATATCGGTAGTCTCATCAATTTCCATGCAAAAAAGAAACTTCAATCTCCTTGCTTATATTTTTCTTAATAATGTATGCCATACTGTCATGGTTTTTGAGGTGCCCGAAAAAACGCTACCGTTTTAAAAAGTGCCAAATTGTGAATCATATTTGCCCCATAACACGAGGTAATTTTTTTTAAATCGGAGTATCCTATTTTAGACCACGTTGGGTATTCGGTTTGTACGGAAAATAAAACACAGGGCCAACAAAATATTAAATCCACGATTTTGTCGATTATCTTACGATTTATTTGAAATCAAATTTGGTTGAGGCCTTCCCAGAGTTTTAATAAGGTAAAATTTATTATCATGAGATGAAGACTTAAAATTATTTGTCAGCAACCAATCAACTATATCGTCAGATTTTTTAATTTCGTCCAACTCATCCATAATAAATGGAAAAAAACTTACCGAAAAGTGAAAACCTGAAAAAACCTTGAAATTGAAAGAAAACACTTTAAAAACACATTAAAAATATTACCAAAAGCACTGATATAATATAATACTGCCTGTTTTATACACGATTTACCGAAATATTTTTCAGTCCCGGTATCCCATCCGAATAATTAAATTAAAAACAAACGCACTCGTACACTAACGGAGACCAATTGGAGGCAAGCCTCCTCTAACGCTATAATTTCTACAACTGAAGTTACAAATTGGGACGTATGTCTCTAATTGGATCGGTCTCGTGGAGCCTGTGTTTTTTAAAGCGGTCGGAGGCTTGGCTCCCTTGCAACGTATGGCATTTATTATTTCGGGTTGATAGTTTATTCGTTATTCATTCATGGGCGATGCGTTTGAGTTTTGTTGATGCAGGATACAGTGTGGTACGTACTATGTAGTGAGTTATAGTGTTTTTTCGGGCATATTATGTATTTATATTAAAAATTAATGGTAAAGTAATGATACCCAAGCATTTTTAGGAAAAAATAATCATATTTATTTGTCAATATTTTTTAATTTATTGCGATGAATAGCCTCAAATTTTATGGGGAGTCTAAGCCTCCTTTGCCTCCTCTGACGAGCCGCCGCTGTTTGTTACTGCAGTAACGTTAGTTACAAATAAAAGTGGTAAAAAACATAGAAATTTTAATTTTTTCATTATGATTTCCTACCACGTAGTAACGGCTACATCCATCAATTTGTTGGTGATTTTTTCAGTCTAAACCAGGGTTCTCAAATCTTCGTCCTGGATTACTGTAGGTCGACCACTTCGAGGTTCATCTTCGAGCCTGAACTCTCCAGAACGAAATTTCTCAAACCAACGTCGAACAGTGAGTTCATCAACATAATTATTGCCAAATGCCAGGTTAATTTTTGGAGCTGTTTTGGCAGCGCTTTGGTTCAAATTGAATTCGTAGAGAAAAATTGGCCAAAATTCGCTTAACGACATAAGCGGAAAAGAAGCAAAAAAAAAATTTGGAAAAAATGAACAGCATCAATGTACAGAGTTCAAAATTCTCAATTGATAAGTATATATCACAACACAGTAAAATATATATTTATTGAGATATGGAGCTACAAAACCACTTGACATTAAAACGGAAAAAACTTTTGAAACAACATAATACTCGAATTACTATTAGTGAAATAAAATGAAAGTAATTTTTTTATGAAGGTTTTTAATCGACCTTCTTTGGAACTTTCTACACGTGTATGAAGTTTATAGTTTTCATACTGAAAATACCAAAACAAAGTCAATATAAAAACGTGAGATTTTCACTTTACACTTTACAATAGTGTGACATGTGTTCAACTATGAAACAGCTTCTTTAGTCGTGATATACATTAACGCAGGAAGCACTATATGGAAATTAGGTTAGTACTGAACACGCCGAAAGGAGCTATTTTATAGTCAAACACATCGCAGTTTAGTAAACTGTGAAAGTGAAAATCTCAACACGAAAGTGTTATTTAAATGGTTATAATGGATTTTCAAGTATCGCCCAATTCCTTCACAAAGAAATGAAACAAAACATCGAATGAAACATTTATTCATGAACGGATTAAAAAAACGTTTTCATTATAAAAAATAGAACTTAACAACGAACAAATCTTAAATACAATTTATTCTTAAATAAAATAGACTTCTATACATCAAAAATAAAATGAAAATATCAACATTATAAAACTTTTGAATTCTTACAATTAACATACTATAAAAAATTGAATCAAATTGAATCAGATCTCACTATTTCTCAGTGATTTTCAATCAATCAATCTCAACAGTCAACCTCTGTTTTTTCCTCTTCATTACTTCCCTTTTTCTCTCCTCCGAGGACAAGGTTCTGAATTTCTGAGATTATTTCACGAACCGTTTCATTCGAAGTTTCCTCAGCTGATTTTCTCAATAATCCTCCATCTGCACCAGCGTTCCTATTTTTTTTCTTATTATCTTCTTTAGCAGATTCTGGAATGCCTGGTTTTGCTAACTTTTTCCGATTCTCACTGGGTGGTAGACTCGATGGAGTACTCTTTTTGCAAGAGCCTGTCTTGACAGTTGACACTTTTGCAGAACTAGACGCCAGAGATGATTTTTTTGTCGTTTCTGAAGCAACAGCCTTAATAGATTTCTTTGGTAGAGACTTCGATTCAATTTTAGCTGATGGTTGTTTGGGAGGAATATTATCACCTATTTTCACTTTAGAAGACTGACTTACTTTGGAAGTTATCTTTGTCGTTGAAGCGGGTGAAGAATCTTCATCTTTTTTGGAGGCTAACACCTTTGCAACAGATAGTGAAACTCTGATAGAGGATTTGATGGAGGATGAGGGAAGAACTTTCTCGGATGATTTCTTTGGTATTTTTTTGACGTCACTAGATGGAGCAGTTCTCACCAGAGATTTTTTTGGTTTTTCTAATAAACTAGGAGGACGCTTGCACTTACTAGAGTCAGGAATTTGCGCATGTTTTTTTACAGCCTTTCCAGCTTGAACCCCAACAATATCATTAACTGAAGGAACTAAGTTTTCTTCTATAATTTTAGTGTTTCTGTCCTCATAATTTTTACTCGATGTAGTTCCATCCGAATACTCACATGATTCATTCACATCTCCATCAATACATGACTCCAGTTTTTCTGACTCTACTAATGGAGAACTCTCATTTTCAACAGATTTTGTTACGAGAACATCATCAATGATTTCGTTTGTTATTTGGTCCTCTTCAGAATTGCCTACAGAGTATACCTGCTCACTATCCTTTGTGGCCAAGGGGCTTTTGCTCAAGTGTTGGAATTCTACTTCAAGTTGACCAACAGCCAAAATTGACTCTTCTATCAGACCTTGTTTTTGCCCGATCGAAATACTTCTGGTATTCTCCTCATTGTTATTTTTTGTAATTCCAGAACTATTCAAAATGGTATCATCAAAGTCCTGAACAATAACAGCCTCGGAATTTTGTTCTTCCAATGAAACAGTTGAAATCTCCACATTAATGAAAAATTGTGAATTTTCTTCAACAGGCGAGGTTTCTGTTGGGGAAGCCTCAGTATCTAGAGCCTCAGGATTTTCTTTCTCTTCGATATTAATAGAACATTCTGAATTTTGTTCTTGGGATGCAGAAGCATGCATAGTTTTATCAACTGGTGAATCATGGATGTCATTAACAGGCGAGATTTCTATTGGAGATGCCTTAGTATCTGGAGCTTCAGGATTTTGTTCTTTCTGTAGAACCACAGCAGAGCTCTCCTCTGAATCGATGGAAAATTGTGAAGATTCTTCTTGATATTCAGCATCACACATTGTTTCACTGACTGGTAAAATAGAAATTTCATCAACAGGTGAGATTTCTGTTGGAGATGCCTTAGTATCTGGAGCTTCAAGATTTTGTTCTTTCAGTTGAACCACAGCAGAATTCTCCTCTGTATCAATGGAAAAGTGTGAATTTTCTTCTTGTGATTCAACAGCATACATTGTTTCACTGACTGGAAAAATAGGAATATCATCAACAGGCGAGATCTCTATTGGAGATGCCTTAGTATCTAGAGCCTCAGGATTTTGTTTGTTCACTGAAACAGCTGCAGAGCTCATCTCTGTATCAATGGAAAATTCTGAATTTTCTTTTTCGGTTGCACCAGCATGAATCGTTTCATTAACCGGCAAAAGAGCCACTTTTTGAACAGACGAGGTTTCTGTTGGAGATACCTCAGTATCTAGAGCTTCGTAATTTTGTTCTTTCATTGTAACAACAGAAGAGCTCTCTACAATGAAAGAAGATTGTGAATTACTGACTGGCAAAATAGTAAATTCCTCCACTGGAGCAACAGCAGAGCTGATGGATTCACCTTCATGGAGGCTATCAGGTAATTCATCAAGATTTTGATTTTCACCTTTTGAACTTGCTACTGACGACTCGACAGAAGGCACATCAACAGAAACAGACGTTTTCCCAGTTTCTTCCATCTCTGAGATTTTGGAAGTGGGCAGTTCAAATTCAATACAATCATCATTATCTTGACGTTCTTGGTCTGAATTTGATAATAGGTACTCGACAGGTGATGCATCGTCTGGCGATTCTTTTACCTCAAATTCCTCATGGGTATCATTCTGTTCGACTTCCAGATTTGAAATATCTTCCGGCGACTCAACAGAAGAATCTGGTGATTCAAGACCTTTGAATGATTTTAGTTGATCACAATTTGCAGAATCTTCATCAATACTAGCATGTACTAAATTATTACTATGAAGTTCTTGTTTTTCAAATTCTTCGTTGATTTCTACCTGAGGCACTGATTCCTGCAGATTGGATGATGATTTAGTGTCAATATTCAGGGTTTGTATTGTGCTAGTTATACCAAACACTTCAACACTTTCAATTTCTGAGGGTTTGACATCAGAAATTTTATTACACGATGATTCCTCTGCTTGATCAATAATTTCAAGAACTAGCCCCTGAACAATTTCTGAAGAATTTACTAAATAACAAGATGTTGGATCAGATGATACATCGATTTTGATTTCTTTAGAGTCAAACTCCTCTTTCAAAGATTCGTTTCCATTATTGTTTTCCACTGTATTAAGGGCATCAATTTCATTCGGAACTACATTATTTTCTACTTCATGAAAACCATTGTTCTCTATTTCAGTTTCTTTCTCTGTATATTTTGTATTGGAAAACAAATCAATGTTTTCAATTTCTGAAGAATCAAGTGAGTCGTTTTTAATTCCTCCCAATTTTGGTCTGATGTCAAAACCGTTCAAGTAGAGCCGAACAGTGTTTTTATTGATGAATTCAATTTGGAAGAGGGTAGAACCTAGAAACAAAAAAACTACATGAAAATATATGAAATTACTCGGATAATGTTAAATGATGTTGTAAGAAAAAATATGACAAGGTTAAAAATGTTCAGAGTCACCGATTCAAGCTGTTAAGGAAAATATAAATATGTTTATTAGTTAACTTTTGCACAAACATTAATGAGGGTAAGTGGTTCCAAGCAATAGTTAGGAACAACTCTCAGACAAGTTAAGAATTTTTTTTTAGATGCATTATTGAAAATATTAGATATGGCATTTATTCCGTCAGTTATTTATAATCAACAATTTTTCCTCATTTTATGTCAAGACACAAATATTTCAACTATGGCGACCCTGCAAATACATCAAATCGTTATAAATTCATTTATTCCAATGTTATGTCATACTGAAACTACGAATGAAAATTTGAAAATAACACTAGGATTAAATTTTTGATAAAAAAAGTTGTCAGTCATATTAAATTTCGCTTATGAAAGGTTAAGCTGGAACCTCTAGCTTGAAATTACACCAAAACAGGCACTTTTCTCAAACACCAGAACTGCAAAACTTTTCTAAGATGATGAGTTGAAGAAAACCAGTTTTCATCTATTGAGGACGCCAACTTGATTGATGAAACGTGCGTCGAGAAGAGTATTGCAGTTCCGGTGTGTAGGTTTTTAAATTTCGTCACGTGGTTGATGTGACGTCACATGTCCCTAAACCCTGGCAAAATGATGAGACGATTTCACTGATTTTTCTAAAGAAAGGCGAGTACTCACCTAAAGATCACCATGATGTAAGTTTTGACAATATTTGTTATTTATATTGAAAGTAATTATTTTTCACGTTTTCAAAGACGAGAATGAGGTTAGAAAGTAACAGTAACATGTGTTGGGTCAAAAAAGATTTGCACTTGTATTATTTTAGTTGGTATTAGTAGTATTTAGTTAGTTTGTCTGGTATATTACTTACATGGATGTCTTCACATTTTAAAATTTGGTAGAACAGAATTTGTATTTGTTGCGAACAAATTGGCGACCGTAAAACAATCAATTCGTGTCAAATTCGAACTATTTGCCTAAATGAATCCACTTTCCATAGCAGAAAAACAGGAAATCAAGAAATTTTACATATATATTTGCAAAAAATTAAGCGTCATTAGAAAATACATGGGATTTTGCGCTCGTACCCGCCTTGTTCATCTACTGATTCGAATTACCCACCGAACGCGCGTAAGCTTCTGATTGGTCGACGGCAAAAGTGGAGGTCTGAGTGAGCTTTAAAGATCTAAAGCCCAATTCACACAGAATGGACGTCTGGCAGAGACGAGGCGTCCATTCTGTGTGAATTTGGCCTAAGATCCAAAAATCGCCAAATTGGGCTGCTCAAATTTGCACGTGTTTTTCCATAAGGAATGAGCCAGAACTCCTATAGCTGCATTACTGATATTTGATTACTACTTATGAAGTACTTTCAAAATACATTTTTTAATTTATTTTGTAAACATTTGAGATTACATAAGATTGATTAAAGGCCGTTGTTCATATAAAAGAGGATATTGTAAGTCGGAATTTCTTAACCTAAAATACACTACTATAGTCTATTTCAAAAGAGTGTAGAGTAATAAATCATGAAGTGTCATAAAATTTGCCTGAATTTCGTTGTCGTCCATGGGCGTAGGCAAATCTTAGGATTATTAAACTTAATAATTAAAGTAAAAACTGTTGGCTCCAACAAAGAGTTCAGTAGAACTCCACAGAAATGTTTACTATCAAACTTCTTTTAACACCCATATTATTGTCTATTAGTAAGATTGGATCATATCAAATGCTCAACTTAGATCAAAAGCTGAGAGTTCGCATATACGTTTTGGATCCAACCAGAATAATTCATATTTTAGCATAACGAATCCTTGGGTTGAATTGAAAGGGGCATATTTTAAGGAGATTGGGAAAAATTGGTTTTTGTAGAAAATACTTTTGTTTCGAACTTAATTGCTTTCTTTTTTTCTTCCTTTTGGATCTTTCCCACATTTTTTGTATTGATATGAATAAGTAGAAAGTCAAAGCCATTTCCTTCTCAAATCCATAGAATATCAATATAATTCAAAACTGCACGAATTTCCATAACACAGTTCCAAAGATTGAAATTTGGAATTGGATGAAAAATACAGTTACCCTCCTCAATGCAATTTCAAATATGAATTCAAGTTGTCAATCCAACGAAATCACTTTTCTCACACACTAGAACACTCTTCTTGACGCATCATTCATAAAGTTGTCATCATCAAAGAACATATACTGTTTATTCAACTCTAAAGTGAGTCTATTTATTTTTTACAGGGTCAATACCTCACATAAATTTTAAGCAACTTGAATTATACCCGACAGACATTAATGTAATTTTTTTTCAGAGGAAAATCTCGCAGATGGCTCTCGTTCGTCCTGTAACTGGACTTTGTGTTAGCCAAGTTCCATTCCGGGTTATTTCCCCTTGTCCAACCAAGACAGCAGTATGTCTGGGACTCGTGAAATTTCATCGTGGCTTCACTGCATATACTGAAACATTGTCCAAGAGAAAGATTTTTCAACTAGTACGGGCTCTAAGCTGTGGTGAACGTAGACCCAAGTGGGAAAACGCATCCCATGTACCAACAATGGTATACCATGTTCATATATTCTATGACCGTTCTCCAGAGTACGTCAAGCGACAGCAGACTTTTTTGGTCTACGAAATCGGATGTGTTGCATGTTGTTAGTAACGTTAATCGTTCTTGTAGTCTAGCGGGAGATTTTAACATCGATTTCATGACTGAAAGTAACACATGCTGTTCTGTGGAGGATCTGCTGTCATCCTATGGATTACATAAAACAACTGTAGAACCATCACGTGTAACATATAGATCTCAAAGCTGCATCGATAACATATTCACAAACACAATTTCTGAAACGAACTCTCAAACAGTAAATTTACATATGTCAGATCATATGGGACAAATACTAAATTTGCCTCAAAAAGATGAAAGAATAAAAAATCACATGGTGACAGCGAGAAACATAAATATTAAAAACATTGAAAAATGCAAAAAGAAATTATCAGAATTGGATTGGACAACATTACTTGAAAATCTTGATCCCTGTACAGCCTACACATGCTACCATGATGCATTTCTGACAATATATGAATCATGTTTTCCTATAAAAGAAAAGACAAATAAAAGAAGAACAAAATCGTCAAAATGGTACACTGAAGAACTGAAAAAGATGAAAAATAGATTGGATGCCTTAGACACAATAAGGAAAGTAAGATCAGATGAAGCATCAGAAAGAGCTTATGTTCAGTACAAACACGATTATAATAGAAACATAATAGAAACAAAAAAGAGGTATAATGAAGAGTACATTGCACAGGCTGTCGACAAAACTAAAGCAATATGGAATATTATTAAGTCTGAAACAGCACCGAATATTACAAAAATCAACAAATCTAAACTCATGGCTGATGAGTTAAACGACTATTTTGCAATGGTAGGATCAGAAACAGCAAGTAAAATAGGAAAAATCAATGTTCCCTCTANTGCATCTCTGTGTATATGTATTTTAATTTCAATACTAAGGAAATAATGACGTTGTAATGTTTCATTTACAATGAATAAATTGATTGATTGATTGAATATACTTTTTGTCACAATAACCCCTTATAAATGCCATCCTTTTCATTTTTACTTATAGAAGTGAACATGATATTCTGAAAGCTACTTTCATAATCAGTTTTTTGATAATTTGATCCAAACCAATATTGGTTGAAACGAAACAACTTCAACTCATTGTATGTTTCGAAAGTTATGGATTCACAAAAACACTTTCTGAATGTGTTTCCTAATTAATTCATCTGCTTTAATCAATAATTGAATAATATGTATGTGCATTGAAATGTAAATCACATGTTTGTACTGAATATCTTGATGATCTCGATGTAATAATGTAATATCGTTATCATTACCGTCTAATTCTCAAACTCTAACATGTTTGTAATCTAATTTCAGATGTGTTAATTTATTTTAATGAGTATGTATTCATATTTTTCACTTCTCAATTTATGATCACCATTGATTGTGGAATTGTAAGATGTTTGTAGCCTGATTTTAATTGCGTCATTTGTTTTGACATATCTATAAACCTTGTGTTTCTCAAGACGAATAAAGATATTATTATTATAATCCTGATAACTGCCACAGGTGGAACAGTAGCCTGGTGGGTTGACGTGGCTGGTTTGCTCGACTCACTCAATCGACCGCTGTGTGAATCGGTGGTTCGAGCCGCAAGGCCGGACGATCGATTTTCACTTCCCATCATCCAACCCGTGTTAGGAAGCACACGTTAAAAGGTAAGACCTCGTTGGTCCTTAGCTCGCACAAGTTTCGACTTTTGAGAGTTGTCGTTCGTAGTAGGTCTTTAGAAGCTTGTAAACTTCATGAGAAAATAAAAGTTCATGTAAATACATACCTGTTAGAAATTCAAACAGTTCTGAATGTTCATGTGTTCCATTATGTTCTTGTAGAACATATATTAAAGGAATTTTTGATGTCTGTTACTAGTCAGAAAGGTATTCATTTTGAACAAATCACTGCACAACTGAACGCTAGGAATATGACAGAGAAACTCATCGGTTGTTCCATATTTCGTTTCGATAAACTGAATGATGTCAAGACCAATATTCCTGCGTTGTGATCTTCATATATTGATATAAATTGCGTGTAAAACGCAATTTTACACACGAAATGCATGACCGACCTAATCGCAAGCGTTATTCATTCTTTCAAGTAATTCAAATCTGAAGGTTTAGTTTTGTATACATTGCTTACATATCCCCACAAAAAGAAATCCAATGATGAAAGATCAGGTGATCGTGCTGGCCATTCAATCGATCCTCGCCTCCCTATCCATCGATTGGGAAATGTTGTATCGATGTATTGCCGGACATTTGGTGGTGCTCCACCCTGCTGAAACCATATCAT